TCGGGCGCGGTGGCGGTGCGGAGGCCTGAGCGCGGACCTCTCAGCCGAGCGGGGGGTCTCCCAGACTGCGGCCTCGGCAGTAGTAACAAGGTTATTGCTGTTTAGCTATAGGGCGTATAGGTAAAGGTGCTTTGGTTCTTGTTTCTTAACTCGTTCTTAAGGAAAAAGTCACTTCTCTGTGATACGTTGTAATTTATGTGTGTAGGCATCAGAGGTGTGGTTTGGAAGCCTTAGGGCAGGATTTTCAATTTCACAGGTTGAGGTACTCAAAACTTCAGTTAGGAGAAGTAAAAGTGTAGGTAAGTGGGAGGTAAAAGTGTAATAACGTTTTTGAAACAAAAATAACTGTAGAAGTGCATCATGAGATGGTGGCAATGTTTTTTCTAGATGGTGACAGACTTCTATTGATGACTTTTGTTTATGATTTAATGTATTAAGTGTTTTTAAATTATGCTGTTTTAATGATGGTCTTTAGCAGACAAGATGGATGTAAATTGGAGACCCAAGCCGCTTTCCCCTGTGGGGAAGGGCTGTCATGAAGTTAGCTTTTGAGGGTCCATTCTGCAAACCTTCTTGGGCAGCTACGAGGCCTGGGTTCCACAGTTGTATCTGGAGTGGACCTAACTCACCTAACATCCATTTAGATCCCAGAGCAGGAGCCAAGAAGCAGGCTGGAGTTTCCAGTCTCCCCTTGTGCTCCCCAGCAGCCTGTGTCTCACTCCAGTCCTTTGCTTGGTTCCTGATAGACTGTTTCACCACTCTGGAAACGTCCTGTGGAGGGTGATGAGCCCTGACTTGTGTCTTCAGAAGTGTGTGGAACCCAGCTTGTGGGCCTGTTTGTTGGTCTGCATGCCTTTGCAGGGGGAAGAGTTACAGACAGGACTGTGATTTGCTGTGCTTTATGTAAGATTACAGCTGGCTTAGAGACCTGTGACTGTAGTATACAATCGTTAGCTTTCATTTCAGTAGTTTAGAAAACACACCTAGCTGAAAAAAAAAATGTTTGTAGGTATCCCCCTCTTCATTACTAGGTTCTGGGTGAAAGCAGAGAAGAATTGACAACTATTTATAAGAAACTAGCTTCACAAAGAGCATCTACCATCCCTACATGCTTATTCACTGCTTCTTTGTTCCTGTTTGCTATGAAACTAAGTTTGTTCAAACTCCAGAGCAGGTGTATTGTCTTGGTTTGGTGTATTGTACAGCTTACTTCTGTTGCTCTAAAAGTAGTGCTGTGATCCAAGAAACCACCTTCTTGTTTTCCTTTATGACTTATGCTTTCTGGTTATAAAGATTCTCAGGTTTCCTTGTGGTTGTGTTCAATCACCATTTCTTGTTTCCCCAGAATTAAAAGGAATGTGTGCTTCCATTTCTTCCCTGTCCCGACACCTGAAGTGTATTTAGTTCTTCAGAGGCACAGAACTCATAAGTTCATCACTTTGCTCTGTTAAGTACTTCTTCAAATTTTTGTAGCTCCTGGACTGAAGGCTGTTCCCTACAGTAAATAGACTAGCTGTGGATCCAGAAGCTGTAAGCTTTCTGTGGCAAGAAGTGCGTACAGGCCAGTAGAGAATCAGGAACAGTGTGAAGTCAGTTTGTGGTCACTGAATCCATGCCCATCAGCGTCATGACTTTCAGAGTCATGATGTGCATGTGAACACCTTGTGTGCTCTCTGGAAGTCAGCGTGCACTGTGTATCAGCAGGGATGCTGAAATTCAGCCAAGAAATGCTTCGGTGGTAAGAGGATGGAATCTGCCCAAGAGCGTAAGAAAATAAGATTGTTTGATTTCTGAGGATGCTTTTACTCAATTGAAATCACATGAGCCAGAACAAGTAATTCTTCTAGCAGCATTCAGTGAGCTCTTAGCATTTCTTTGAAAGGTACCATATCGTTCCTGGTTTGTAGAGTATCCTGTGGCAGGTAAAAATAAGATGGTTAATTTAATGTATTTGTAAAAAACTAATGTCCTTTTGTATAGCATGGAGTATCTCTGACTTCTCTTCATTTTTATTAAGGTGGGAAACAGATTGGAAAAGACAAGGCAGTGATTTTGAGAAGCTGCAGTGGAAGTGAGTTGTGTGGATTACTTCTGAGGAGGAGAGCTTAAGCGTTCGTACCATGGAGTTAGAGAAGAACGGCAGTGTTAGAAGGAGAAGCTTCAGTCAGACCTCCCGTCCCTTTCCTGACGCGGGGGAGGCTGAGCACGCGCTCGTCAGAGACGCTGAAGCAGGAGCTAACCACTCTGGGTTTGGCCAGGCACGTTCTGCCAACGTTTCAGAACTGAAGTTATCAGAAGAAAGCTTGCCTTACTTAAGTTCATCATTAGATGCAGATCTAGAAATGTATAATAAAAAGGGAATGAGAATTGGCTGTGCCCATGTAGATGAAAGCAAGGAAGAAGCTGACACGATGGGAAGGGCCCATGGCGATGTGCACTGTAATTGCAGGGCTTGTGATGTTTGTAGACAAGGCAATTTAATTGAAGATTCAGAGCTGGAATATCTCAGTGCTCACGAGGAAGATTTTGGTGATAGGAATAGCTCAAGTGAGCTTTCTGAGCAAAGGGAAACTATAGGAACTGAAACCACAGAGCTGATAGATTTAGTTCATGAAGTTCGAGGGGGTGGAGTTGCGCAGGAACAAAATATCTTCGACCTGTCAGGAGATGGTTCTCCTGTCTCTGAGTCTGGTGTAGGTGGCCAGATGTGCCCGGAAGCAGCTGTGCTAGAGCTTACCCACCTGCTTCAGGGCTCTCTGTCAGGTTGCAGTGGCATGACTGGTGATCATCAGGAAGAGCAAACCGAGTATCACAGTGATGTTTATGGAAGTATACTTGAAGGTGGTTCTTGGGAGAGCAAGGAAAGGATCGGTTCAAATCCGCTTGTATATGACAGTTTAGAAAATGGGGAGGTGAAAGACATGACAATGACTGATGGGACACTGCCACCCCAAACCACAGGAAGTGGGGAAGTGTTTGGAAAGGCTGACAGACACATTCAGAGCATCTCGGTTGTGCAAGAGCATCCTTTACTGCCACCAAGGGAAAGGGCCCCCGCGGTAGCCGCGCCACGCTGTGAACCTGCAGAGGACTCTGATCTCTGCAGTTGTGAAGAATCTGGTGTGTGCACGCGGGGTGCTGGCTGCCTCCTCTGCACCGCGAGGGGTGCTGGAACCCCATTTCCAGTCTCTGAAATTCTTCTGAGCAAGAATCCCTTTTTTGGGGTGGAAGGTGCAGATAAATCCTCCTGTGGAAATACCAACTGTCTGAACTTGGAGTTGGAGCACAGTGAAACCTTGAAAAACGTTACCCGTGGCTCTACAGTTAACCAGGCGGCTGACGTAAAGCAAGCTCTAAAATCAGAACTCACAACAAGCAGAAGTACCAGTGCTCAGGTTTGTCTCTCATCCAAGGCTGTTAATACAGAGATAAAAATGATCAACGAATCTCAACCCATGGGATGGCACCATGAAACCTATGCAGACATGGCTTGCAATACAGAGTGGTCATGTGGAGCCGGTAGCACAGAGAAAATTTCATCACAGCTTGCTGAGACACTGCAAGAACACTCTGATGACAGTACTGCAGCAGCTGACAGAAGTTCACAAATGCAGGTAATTTAAAAAAAAAATAAAAATAAAAATTTGCTGTGTAGAACTTTTTTTAACTTAGAGTTGCTCAGAACTTGTCTATACAAATGGCAATCTTAACTTTTGCTGTTGTTGTTTAGGAGTCAAAACCTGAGCTTTGTAGCAGCAATTTAAAGATATGCACCGAAAGGTTGGTCATGAATTGTTCTTGGTTTTAATTATAGATGCTGCATAAGTTGTTGGGTTTTTTTCCATGCTTGAAAGGTTATCTGTCACTTAACAAAAACTAATGATAGTATTAAAAGACTCCTGGGCCGCGGTTCCTACACTGAAGGGTAGAAAGGGGCCTGGACAAGTGAGAAGAATGAGCTGAAGAGCTCCTGAAGTCAAAGGCCAAAGCAGCCTTGGTCTGCAGTTACAGACTGACCAAGACAAATTCAACAGTGCTCCAGACCAATTCAGCAATGCTCCAGTATGGTAAAGAAGGGAAACAGTGTTCTGGGGCTGCATTAGCAAGAGTGCAGCAGGCAGATGGGGGGAGGTGTTGATTTTTCTCAGTTTGGCGCTGGTGAGGTTTTATCTGGAAAGATATCTGCGGCTGTGAGCCCTGTAGTGCAAGAAAGAGGTTGTCAGACTGGAGCAAGTCCACTGGAGGACCACAGGGATGCTATGGGGAGCTGGTGAAGCACCTGATGAGAACTGAGGGCACTGGGCTGGGTAAGCCTGGAGAAGGGAAGGTTGGGGGGGTGGAGAACCTCCCTGCAGTTCTTGGCAATCTGGTGGTGGGTTGCTGAGAAGATGGAGTCAAATTCTTGGCAGAGATGTGTTGGAAAGGCAAGAGCCAGCAGTTATGGTTTGAGGGATTCTAAGTGGGTGTAAGAAAAGGTTTCGTAAAGAGGGAGTAGTGTTAGTACTGTCTCCTTTCTTGGAGATTTAAAACCAACACAAAACCTCAGACCCAACAGTGAGGCTGGGCTGGAAAAGATCCCGAGTTGATTTTGGGGTTTGCTCTGGTTTGACCAGAGATTTGCAGAAATTCTTTCCAACCTTAATTATTCAGTGCGTGTGGAAACAAAAGTGTATCAGCAGAGTTCCTAAGTGTCATTTTGGTTCTAACCACCACACTTTTGGGGTAGAAATTATTATGGTGTTTGTTCCCACTTCTTAGTTAAGGCTGATTATAATGCAGAAGCTACTGTAAGACATCATTTTTTTCTGTGTAGTAAATAGCAGGAACTGATTTAATTTTTCTTCCTTTTTTTTCCCCTTTATATTGTATCAGAAATAGCTTCTGGAAAGTTACTTGTTCCAAAATAAAACATAATGAACTTTAAATGTTGATTGAAGAACTTCAAGATTTTGTTTATTATCATTATTTTAAAGGCCCGTACACCTTGACAAACAAGCTGTGAATAACTCTGTGCCAAGCTACTGTCAAGAAATACTGCGGAGGGCGACTGAAGCGGAACTGCAGATTCTAAATGCTCACTATCGCATGTGCTATCAGCACTGCTTGAAGATTTACAGCCTGGCTTTGGAGGAAAATACATGTTTTAGCAGGCACGTGCTTGAAGGTCCTTTAAAATGAAATGGGTAACTTGGTTAACAGGCATTAATTACTAAATGTTACTGATGTATTTTATCCATAGCTTGTAATAGTGTTTATAGTTCATGTTGTTGTCCAAAATTTATATTCTTATAGCTGCCAGGTTTTACTTTCAGCCTAAAATTTTCTGTAGCATTCAAAGACCCAGCAAAATACAGTGTTTTTTTGGTTTTGTTTTTTTTTTTTTCCAGGCATGTCCAGATAGCTACTGTGTGGGTGAGAAGTGAACTCATGTTCTCATGCTATGTGGAGGAAACTTTAAACACTGTAAAACATTTGGGCAGTTCTGGAAGCAGTAAAATAAATGAAATGTCTGTCTAAGTTGACCTTATTTTCTTACATGTGTTTTAACAGATGTAATGGAAATACTGAATTACGTTCCTCTGTCATGTTGGTTTTGCAAGAGCTTAGAAAGAATTACCAGAGTATGAGAGGGCAAATAAAAAGGGGTGTACCTTTAAATGCACTTCCACCGCTGTCAGTTGAGGTGAAGTTGTTCCAGATCTCCTCATCTTATGTCCCGTGCAAGGTAATTTCTTAATTGCTTCTTGTTTTTAGTATAAATTATTTTCTTCAGAAAACTAAGACAAATCTTTTCTGTTTTGACAGTTGTTCAGAGAGGATCTTTGCTATGAGTAAGTAGTCCTCATGTGTGGTATTTATCAAAGCTCACATTAAATGTAAAGTGAGCTTAAAACATGTTAAACTTAAAATGTCTTTATTACAGCATGTATTTGGTTGCTCCAAACTGTTTAGCTGAAATACTAGTGTAGAACTTTGGGGGCAGTGGTTTTAATTTAAGGAAATTCTTACTCTCTCTTCTTCTAATATGCAGACTATGGAGTTGTATTTTTTACTATCTTTATAGCAAAAGCTTTCTATTTAGGAGCAATTTTTTCTGGTTCCTTATTTTCACTACTAAATCTTTGTCTCTAATCTTAATGCTACGTGTCTTAAAAGAAAGCCACAAAACACCACCAAAACAAAAACACTTTTCTGCCAACAAAGATAATATTAGGCATTTAAGCAGCTGTTCTAAGAGTATCATTCAGTTGTGAAGAATGATAGAAAAATAACTTCCTATTTCAGACAGACATGTTCAAGGTCTGTGCACTTACTTCATGTAAGTGGAAATTAAAACAAGTTTGGCAACATGTTTTTACTGCATCAGGTAAACAGTTAGAGATTTTTTTCAAATTTCTTGTGAAATACTAGGAAAATTAATCCAAAATTGCTTGGAGGTTTCAAATCATAAACGCATATATTGAAACTTCACACAGAAGGTGTAAAGGAAAAACAGCCTAACATAAACCTAGAACACAGCTTTATGTTTAAGGTTGCAACCAATGCTTTTACAAAATATAGGTCTCAAAAAACTTTGGTTCTCATTTGAAGCTAAGATTTATTAAGCACATTTTATTTATTTTACTGTTAGCTTTTGGAAAGAAATATTTCAGAGTAATCGGTATCATTGCAGAATTTAAAACTGTTGTGCTGTATTTTCTATGAAATTCTGGGGTCTGTTTCAGTTCTGTTTCAGACACAAGAGAAGCTGACTTGAAAGCACTAAAACTTCAAGAAAGGAGAATTTCTGTCAGCATGGTAGGGACATCTTCATTACTGAGTTTCCTAGACATTATGCTGTGAAGCATTGTTTTCTCTTGAGGTCTTCAGGACTCAAACTGGGATTCTTTGCCAGTAATTGCAAATGCAGCTAATGTGACCCAAATTTTGATCATCCTTTTCAGAGAAAATAACTTGTGTGTTCTTGAAGTTGACCAGTAGGTTAAGTTTATAGAATTTACCTGTTTAATCATTTAAAATCCTGAAGCTCAGAAAAATAACATCTGATGGGGTGCAATTGCTGTCACCTGACTGGAACGTGTCTGTAGGATGATCCGCAGGCTGTATCTTTAGCTGATGGTCATCTGCCAAGTGACTCTACTTCCTCCAGGACATTTGAAGAGCATCATAAGGATCAGGATGTGGAATGTGGTAAGCAATCTCCTTCTAGTACAAATACTATATTTTTTGTTAATTAAGTTGTTGGAAAAATATCAAACCTTGATAGAAAGACAGAGATGGATACGCAGCTGTCTTTTCTGGGGGGGAATGCTTAATGTTTTATCAGTTCTGTATTATACTTTACATCTTGGATAAATATTTTCCACTTAAACTAGATGTGAAAACTAGTATGCATTGTCTCTTTGTAATGTAGTACCAAGTCACACAGGAAAATGGAATGCTCTTAAGCACAGAAATTTGATATTCTGAATTGTAACATGCTGAAATCTATTTTGACTGTCAAGGCTGTGTGAAAAACGAAGAAGGGAGTCAGTATTGGTTTGATGCTAAAGAGGACTTGACAGCAGCAGATTTTTCAGTAATATCTGAAGAAACTGAAAAACAACAAGGAAAACAAGACACAGTTGATTTAAGAGGTGAGGTCTTGTGCTTTCAGCTGCCATACTTAATAATGGTGGGGGTTTTACTCTTTGAGTATTCTTTTCTTTCTACAAGCATAAGTAAACTTGTTAAAAAAATGCAAGCTGTGTTTTCAGACTTATTTTTTCATTGACTTAGAGTGAATCCTTGTACAGATATTCATCTCTTTTCATCCCCTTGTTTCCTTGGAAAGTTTTACCTACAGTTGTTAAACTCCATTTAGCACATGTTCAGCCATCATGTAGCTGGAAGTCTTTCTCTTTTTTCTCTTCCTTCTCTTCCTGCTTTCCTTCCCCATAGCAGCTTCTTGTGAGCTAGCTGGGGACAGCGTGTGTGGAGACCTGGGTCCTGGTGACAGCCATAGGTAGAAGTCCCCAGCGTGATGAAGGCAGAGAGCTTCTGTACTCCATGGTGGGGACTCACAGTGTGCTACCCATGCTTTAGCACAGGTACCTGTTAGTTCAGAGCAGTGTTCTCTCTGGGGTTGTACCTCTTCAGCCTTGTCAAACCTCAGGAAATACTCAGGGAAAAGTGATTTCACAAATGGAGCTGTTCTGCTTCTCAGGATGCTCATTTTCTCTTAGAAGATACTCCTCGTTCTTTTAGGTTTTTTTAAAGATTTTTCTATCTGTTTTGAGAAATCTACAGAGAAGATGTTAGCTTGAACCAAAACACTTCACTTTTTAATGTTTATTACTAGAAGTGAAGATAGCGAAGAGCAGAAATGAGTGTACTTCCGTTCGTGTTGGTGTCCTGAGTTCCTCGGTGTCAGAGGTATGCCCGTGCTTGGTGACGTAGCAGTAGTGATGTCTTGCCTCTTTTCTCAGTTCTTTCATGCTCTACATTTGCAACAAAATGTGCTTCTATTTTGTAGGATGATTTAAGAGCGCATTTCCAGAAGTATCAGGTTTCTGACACTATCATCTCTATGGATGTTAGTAACTACAGGTATATTAATACAAGTCCTACTTGTTTCAGATTTTTTTTTCTGTCAAAGTAAGCAAATCATGGGGTGGAGGAGAGAGTTGTTCATTGATTTGTTTCAGTACTTAATGTAGACACAGGTAAATTGATGAAACCTTGTAATTCCAGAGAGCTGCTTCTCACCTTATGAGAAGTTAAGGATTCTGTATTTTTCTGTTGAGTTTAATGGAGATAGATAGGAGTGAGATGAGAACCATTACGTGTGCTTACTGATAGCAATTTAACATATGCTTTATTTAGTTTCTTCTTTTTTCAATTTTTGTGCCTTAGATACTCAATTCTCTCCTTTAAAGACACTGATAAAGCAAAGTTAGCTGTAGAGGAAATGAACAAGAAAAAAATAAAAGGAAAGCAAATACATGTTAAACTCCTAAATACTTCACCAGACAATAAATATTTGCTTCCTCAAGTACTTAAAAATAAGCTTTTGTGTGAAATCCAACCTGCTGGTAACAGTCAAAGAAATGATGAAGATAAAACAGTCACTTCAGCCTCCAATTCTGTGGAAGCACCTGGTGCCACCTCTGCTTCTGAGAAAACACATTTCCTTCCTGTAACAACTTCAAACGTTACTTGTGCTACTCAAGTACCTGCAGAAACAAAGTGCCCTGGTCTGAAATCATCTAATGAAGATTCAGTACCTTATTTGCTTGGAGTTAGTCAAAAGGTAAATACTTATTGCGAAGTCTCCTTTGTATGGCAGTTTAAGAGCCTTAAAACGTCTTGTCCCATAACATGTTGCATTTCATATACAGAAAGTGATGCTTGGATAGGAAAACTTGTTCTGTGTTGGCAATACATTTCTGGCATGCTGCAGAAGAGTGAGAGCACCATTCATTTGCCCCTTCAATCACATCATCCAATTGTGATGCTGAATCTGTTTTTCTTAATCTCAAACCAGTTGGTTTAGGTTTAAGAAATCTAGCCATTTGCACTAAATTTTTCATTTTGCTTTTCTCCTCTTTAGTGTTTCCACGTGAAATGCTTTTTTTTACGTGAATGTCTTGTGATGTTTATACAGGAAGGATTTTGGGATATGGGAGGGGAAACTCTTGGGGGTTTTTAATGTAAACCTAAGAAACATCTATGTATAAATACAGCATTTTGTATTAGCTCAGCGTGGTCCTTGGAGGATAAGGCAAAGTTGGTAACTGCTAGTGTTGCTCTCAGAAACCATATAGACATGCTGCCTTTGGGGACTGAACTTCAAGCTTGCCAGTCCTCTAGGAAACATAAATCGGATCTAATATAAGCTGGTGGGAAAGGCAGTGACACCTAAATGCATGCAGCAGTTTCATTTCTACTTTACAGATGGATAAGGTGACTGGTTGTATTAGAATAACCTCCAGGTCTGAGTCTCTGTCGTTTTTTAATTTTTACAGAACAGGAATATTTATTGGTCATAAAGATCTGTTGTATTACTTGTACTACTTAACCCATTCACTTTGGGCTTATTTTGGTGCGATTCTAGGATGCTGAGGAAAATACCCTGCAGAAAAAATCTGCTCCTTTCTCCATGAGTTCTTATGATGTCTTTACTTCTAATACATTGAACTTGAGCAGCTTTACCAAAGTACTGAAGAAACTTCAAGAAATTCATCCAGATGCTAGCAGGTGAGAGTGTTTGGATTTTGTTGCTGTCCTCATTTGAAATGGATGCAATATCCATGGTAACTAAGTGCTAACTGTACTGCACAAAATGTGATATAAACAGTTCAGTCTCTTACTTACACAGAGACAAAATTGTGGGTGCTCTTCTGGAGGTGAGGAGGAACAACAACGGTACCCTAAGTGGCTTGTCCATTAGTTCTATTGTGGAAAGGACCTCTGTCATTCTAAGGAAACGGGGCCCCAGATGTGGATGGAGAAAGCAGTAAAAACAAGTGAGTATCCTAGCCTACAGAAATACAGTGAAATAAAACCACTTCAATTTGTGTAGCTGTGTATAGCCTGACTACATTAGTAACTAACAGTATAAAGCTCTGCAAGAAACACTTGCATGAATGCACTGAAACCATGGTTTCTCAGGATTGTTAGCTGTCTTGCAGAACATCTGTGAACAGATTAGCTCACTAGCTCTGTGCACTCTAGAAAATTTGGTATACTTGGGGGTTTTATGAGACTGGATATTAGGAAAAACATCTTCCCCAAAAAGGCTGTCCAGGCCTGGCCCAGGCTGTCCAGGGCAGTGGTGGAGTCACCATCTCTGGAGGGATTGAAAAGATGGGGATGTGGTGCTGAGGGACATGGTTTAGTGGTGGACTTGGCAGCGCTGGGGTAATGGTTGGACCTAGTGATCTGAAAAGGTCTCTTCCTGGCCAAACGATTCTATGAAGAACAAAGGGGGGGGGGAGGCTGTAGTTATGCATATTCCGGACAAGGGTGACACCTGTTGGCCGGTTCGTGTGTAGCAGTCCATACAGAAATGCCAGCACAGGCTCGATTTTGGGTTAATAATGACTGTTAATTTCTGTGCACTGTGCGAGATCCAGTCCTGCAGCAGAAGTCTGGCAGAGTGGGATCGTGTGTCTTAGTTTTTTCCCACTGAAGGACACCCTGCATGCTGACAGTGCTGAATGCTGCAGGAAGCCCCAAAAGCCCAGCATGCGAAAAGCACAGCCCAGAATTCCAGGTCTTGTGTATGGTCTTGTTCTCCTGTAGGAGGCATCCCTGAGTTGACACTGGTTCCAGTCTCCTGCTAAGCTTGGTCTTCTGCTTGTTTGAGGGCTGCTAGCGGTTCCACTGCCAGCTTTCCCTCACTTCCCATACTTCCTTACCTTAGCAGTGTTCCAGCTTCACTCTTCCTCACAAACACGAAATGTACAATATTTATTCTTCTGTAGTAATGCCAGTGAGCAGAAGAGTCCTTCAGAAAGACAGAGTGTGTTAAATACAGAGAGACGTGGGATAGGATTTTACACACAGAATAAGATCAATACTGCCCATGGTGATGAGGGGTGTGAGAGATTCTCAGCCAAGATGCATGTTTGGCAGAGTTCCTTTTGAACGGATTAGTGTGACATTAGTTTGTTAGTTTGGCATTTTCAGAATCATAAAATGGTTTGGGTTGGGAGGGACCTTAAAGATTATCTAGTTCCAACCCCCATGCCAGGGACAGGGACACCTCCCACTAGGCCAGGTTGCTCAAAGCCCCATCCAGCCTGGTCTTGAACACATCCAGGGATGGAGCATCCATAACTTCCCTGGGCAACCTGTGTCAGTGTATCACCACCCTCATAGTGAAGAATTGTGGCTTCCCTTTGAGCTTTTACAGATGCCTCTAGGAATCAAAATTTACAAAAGAAAAGTCTTCATATTAATTTACTGAGTGACTTCCACAGGACTGCTGGTACAGACATAAACTCATCCAAAAAAAAAAAATCTTACACTTGAAACATTTTTCAATTAGTAAGGTTTTAACAACCTCAAATGTGTTGTGCTTTCCTTGCCAAGTGATTATTTTTTAAATGATGTGTGGGCTTTACAGTCATAACTGTTCCTACAACAGCACTTTTTTTCCTGTTGCTTTGCCAAAGAGATGATGACCTATAAACGTTTTTGCTTTCATCATGAGGGAGCTGTGAAATAGCCAAGTTATTAGCCAGTAAGGCGTGAAAAAGAATTTTTATCTTTCCATAGTAATAAACAAGTTTGTAAAATGTTTAAGAAAAGATAATTGTGCTCAGAGCTCATCTGTACTAATTGTATATGGCTTCAGACATTCTTGAAGGGTAAGTGTCCAGTGAGAACTATCATCTTGGAACCTTAGGTTCTTGCAAGCTAATGAAACATCCAGAGCCGTACAGATAATGCTTTGATGTCATGCTGCCTTATGTGGTATTTAAATTCAGCATTAAAGTAAAGCACAATAGAATCTTGCTTTTTCCTTTGGCTGACTTAGCCCAGAGTTGGACACTTGAATGTTTATAAATCTTGTATATTTGTTGATTTTGAAGGAGTAGCTTCATTAGAAATAGGAATTTAGGTTTTGGACTGGAAAGTCCTTTTATTCTCATTCTTGAGCAGCATGCTTAAACTTCTTGCTTTCTTAAACCTAATGGTAGGCAGCTGTTAACAGGAATTGTTATGCTATGAAAGTTACGCAGTACAGCATTAAAAATAGCTCTTTCCTTCAGTTCTCTCAGTACCAAACGTCTGTGCTCAGAAGCTTTCTGTGAAATTAATAATCTGCATAGTAAAATTTTAAAAACAGACTAGTGGAGGAGGGTCTTATCAAAGCATAACTAACACAGTGCTTTGAGAAACATAAAGAAATGCATGGAGTCTATGTAATCCTAAATGATGGTCAGATAATTTTGAATTAACTGAAGGAATAAAAAAAAGAATCAACGGACAGGATTTGTTGCACTAAGATTATATATTTTATTGTAGTCATGTGGATCTTGAACCTAGGAAGTGTCACTCTTCTGTGAACTTCTGCAAACTCAGTATAGCTGCTGGTGGTTTTCAGGGCTATTAAAACTTCTTATTTTGGTTTAAGTGTGTACGTGCA